TTTGAGGGGCTTCGTGCTAGATAATTCTTAATAATATATAAATTTTAAAAGAATATTAAATGTTTATATTTATTTAAATATCACATTCAAAAATATTTTATTTAAATTAATTCTAGATATCTCGAAATATAGAGAAAAACATCCATTGTTATGAAAAATATATACTACTCCTATCATCTGCTCATGAAGTTTTTTCTTTTTTTTTTTTTCAATTGTTTCAATATAAATTACTTCATCCGTCCCACGTACCATGTCCATATTGCCGTTTATGTCTGTCCCATATTCCATGTCATTTTCCTTTTTTGAAAATGATTACACACCTTAATCTTATTTTAAATTTTAATTTTTTTTTTAAATTTTAATTAAAATAATTAGTTATTTTAATTTTAATTTACAATTATTTATATTATAAGATAATTATATTCACTAATACATTCTTAATTATCTACTAATTACACTCCTCCTAAAATGTCGTATCTACCATGTTGCAGACACGGTATGTGGGACGGAGGAAATATATTTTTCCATTTCTAATAAATATAGATTTAACTTCAAATTATAAATGGGCTCACACTTATATTTTTGCATGTCGATATCGCTATATCATATCAGCATATATAATGTTAAAACTAATTATGTTAATATAGTTTATTGAATTATATAATTAATATAATAATATTTACACTATCAGCAGCATACGTGTTCATTTTAGAAAATCAGCACTAAATCCTTTCCTAATTAGTCGTGTGAAAACTTATTTTAATATATATATATATATTTCATTCCTTATTTAAAAACATGATCATCTGTTTTGGGCATAATCTGAATAAATAATACTCTCTCCACTTGAAAATTTTATTTGCATTTTCTTTTAGTTTTTTCGCTAAATTTACTTAATGATTAATTTTGGCAAAGTCAATAAATTCAATATTTAATTATTATCCTTTGTTGAACACGCTTATTTTCAACAAATGTCACTACTTTTATTACGTTCACGTTCCTCATTATTTTAATTTCTAATTTACTTTTCAAAAATATCTTCAACTATTTTTTTACTTTTATCACTTTTTTAATAAAATATTCATTTTTCTTAATATCCGTGCCGGATTCAAATATTCTAATTTTTTTTTACAAAAGATACTCCCGTCCTAATTCAAAATATAATTTTTATCATTTTTATCAATTTCATTTCAAAATATTTGTTTCTTATTTTAGAAACTAATCATACAATAATACATCATTACACATACAAAAGTCAAAAAATAAAAATATCAAAAACTCTAATTAAAAAAAATTAAAATATATAATTTTTCCTAAAAAATAATAAAATAAATAAACGGACAAAAATAATAAAAAAATATAAATATTATAAATATGACAGAGAGAATATTATTAAATAAATTTAAAAAAACGGGTGTAATGGATTGAAACGAAAGGAGAATAAAAAATGAGTGAGTATATGTAATTTGAGGCAAATTTTTCAGAAAAAAATAAAAGAAGAAAAGAAAAGAATGGCAGAAAATGAACGGCTGTAGAATGGTGAGTGGGATCCCTAAATTTGGAGAATTATTAAATGAGTCACGTGCTAACACAAAAGGACCAATTCGCTAAAAAAATAAAAAATAAAGGACCAATTCACTAAAGCAAAGCGACAACGGACCCTGTCGTGTCTAATCCGCACATGTCGCCTTTTAAGAATATACACTTCTGTCGGTTACTACCACTTCTATTTATATCCAAACTTTTCTTTCTTTTACCAATTTTCATCTATTATTATTTTTTATTTATATATTACAATTATTTTAAAAAATACTATCGGCTTTAAAAATCTTATTTACTTTTTCAATGTTGATCTTCTAATATTAATTATAATATTAAAACATAGTACAATTTAATAAAAAATAAATGTGATCCTTAGAAGCGGAATGAGGAAATATTATTGTTTAATATTATACCAACTAATTTTCATCCATTGTAGTATTATCATTAAAAAAAAAAAAAAAAAAAAAAAAAGGAAATTGTCATAAATTCGAAGGTATGTTTCAACCTATAACCAAATTTAAAAGGTTATGATTTTATTTTTTAGAAAATAACATTTATATTGTAAAAAGTTGTTGATTAATAATTTTTTAAACACTTCAATATGTACATATATTTATTAAATTTATTCTAATCAAATATGGAAGATTATAGGCTTTTTTTTCTATGTTTTTTTTTTCCACAAGATTTTTTTTTTCAAAAAAAATAAATTAATACACTATACACATTCATTATTTATATATTTTCTACACAATTTTTTATATCTCACATAAAAAAATAAAAATAAAAATAAATTTCAACAATATACATAATCATTAATTAAATAACATTCCCATCCAAGTTAGAACCGAACTTCCAACTATGATATCAACCTATAACCAAACATAATCATTAAATCTTAACTAACTCAAAATAATTTTTATTCATAATTATTTCAATAATTTATTTTCAATTATATTTAATTAGAACTAACAAAAATAAATATAACCGAAATTTTGAAAATCTAATTCGGACACTATACGCAAATTAGAATTAGATTGGGCCAGACCTAACTGAAAATTTTTCAAATAAAATAATTTAAATAATATATTCTTTCCATCCCATAACAAAATATCCATTTTTTCATTTTAGTCGATCCAATAACAAGTATACATTTTCTTTTTTTAGTAATTGTACTATCTACCTAACATTACAAATACTCTTACAACTTACAATATATTACACAAATATCATTACCTTTATATCACACATACTAATAAGGTTATTTTAGTCATTTTTACTTTATTTTTACTATATCCCAATATAATACTAATATTTCTAAAATTATGTACAAAAAGTAAATTAATATTTAGTTTCGGGACGGAGGGAGTATTCCATAATTAATTAACTATATTCATGCGTTTGTTTTGAAAATATTAGTGAATATGAAAATTATGTGGAAAACTCAACGCACAAAAATATTTAATGAATATTTTAAATAATTACACAATAAATTATTATAAATAATAATTATTTTTTTTTCGAATTGTAATATTGTTACAAAGATTTGAACTAATAATTTATCTAAATACTAAAATAATTTATGATCAAAATTAATTAATAATTAGTTTACCTATAAAACATTAAATAAATAAAAATATTTTACCATATAACAATATTACAGCAAATAAATTTAAAATAGTTATCTAATACGTAGCTTTTTGATAACTTTGTAAAAAAAATTGTGATATAATAAGTCGGAATGAAAGAATATACTTTTATCATAAATTGTACTATCAAAATTATATAATTTAAAATTTTAAATTAAATTAAAAAAATAGACCTATTATTTGTGGTGTGGACAACCTATCAATTAGTGTGTGCATATATAGGGGTATAACTAGGGGGTAGCGGGGGTGGGGGGTAAGGTTTCCCTATTCCATCATTTAATATGTTAATATAATTTATATTCTTTCTATTTTATTTTAAATGATATTTAGGTAGTTGATGTTTAATTAATTAATAATAATAAATTATGATATTATTTTATTAATTTTATACAAAAAATTTTGTTAATAATTTTAAAATAAAAAATAATATATATAATTAAAGGAAATTTAGAATAGGTATTAAAATATTTTAAAGTTATATCTCCATAAAATATGTAATATGAATATTATTTTTGTATAGAATAAAAATTTATATAATATACATATATATATTTATGTATAATTAATAATCCCTCCGTCCCACGTTGGATGTCTGGATCTATGTAGACACGGGAATTTAGAATAAATATAATCAGTAGATAATTAAAAATGTATTAGTGAAAATAATTATTCTATAATATAAATAATTATAAATTAAGATTAAGATAACTAATTAGTTTAATCAAAATTAAAAGAAAAATTAAATTAAATTTTTTTAAATGAGATTAAAGTGTATAATCATTTTTCAAAACGAAAAGTGACATGGAATGTGGGATAGACAGAAACTGCAATATGAACATGATAGGTGGGAAGGACTGCAATATGAACATGAACATGGTAGGTGGGACGGAGGGAATATAATTTATTATTTTTTTTTATAAAAGATATGAGAATTTTAAATATATATAAAAACACAATTAATATATAACATTTGAGTTTATTTAAGTGAATCGATCACTTTCTCAAACCTAATCAGTTTGCACGACACTAAAGTTGATATATAATATAGCAATAATTCTTTTGATTTATAGGAGAAAAAAAAAAAAAAAAAAACCCTTAAAATATTAAAAACCATCGATGAGTACGATCAACTTATCATCTCTGACTAAATATCATAAAATAAAAATAAAAATAAAAATAAAATAAAATGATCTGATTACATCAATTTCGAAAATAACCATAATAATAATTGCTGAATGCTGACATCCCAATAAAGTGGCACGTACCAAATTTCAAATGACAGAGCATGTGCCCACAATTTTAAAAATAATAAAATAATTAAACAAATAAACATGTTGCAATATGAAATAAAATAAAATAAAAATAAAATAATACGTTAAGATTGTTGACCAACTCCCTAAGTCCGCGGTGAACGGCCCAGATCCGATCCAGCCAATTGACTCAAAATCTTCTCAAGAGCTCCACGGACTTCAACTCCAGACCGATTCATTTCCCGCGCGGCTACTATATCAACCGTTGGAGCTCCTCCTGCGTTGAAAGTCCAGGGATCTCACAAGATTTAGTTGATGAACAGCCCCATCCCCTTGGAAATTAATCAGCCTATTTAATAAAAAAAAATAAAAAATTCAAAAAACTCTATACATATTTTTTGCGTTGTAAAATCAATGAATGTATACCAAGATGATGATGACATCTTCTTTTGTCCCTTCATGATTGTCATCACATTGTAAAATAATTGTAAGAAAGGCTATAAAGCACCCCCCATAGCAGCCCCTCATGTGTGTATTTTTTTACTTACACCCTTTTCGCTCTCCTCTCCATCCCAATCCTTACTTTCTCTCTCTAGACTGTGGCTGCTGTTGAAAAACTTGGGATTATATATATAGTGGAGTGACTATTCTTGGCTTTACATATTTACACAACCCATCATTACAATACAATTCATTTCACTTATCTATATAGAGATAGAGAGAGAGAGGGTATCTAGAGAAGGAAAGAGAAAGCATATCAAAATGGGAAGATCTCCATGCTGCTCCAAAGTGGGATTGAGGAGAGGGCCATGGTCAGCAAAAGAAGACAATTTACTCACAAATTACATCCAAGAACACGGGGAGGGTCAATGGAGATCTCTACCAAAGAAAGCTGGTAGGGTTTGTTTGATTTTAGAGAAATTTAATGATGTCTGGTTCTTGATTTTGGGTAGTTTTGCAGTTTAGTCCCTCTGACCTTTTGGGTATTTGCAATGAAGGGCTTCTGAGATGCGGCAAGAGCTGCCGGCTCCGGTGGATGAACTATCTCCGGCCCGGAATCAAAAGAGGAAATATCTCTCAGGACGAGGAGGATTTGATCGTAAGGCTCCACGGCCTCCTCGGAAATCGATGGTCATTAATCGCCGGGAGGCTGCCGGGTCGAACTGACAATGAGATCAAGAACTATTGGAATACCCACCTCCTCAAAAAGCTCAGGACCGCCGGAATTGAGGTTTCCCGGCCGGGGAAAGTGGCCGCCGCCGCCGCCGGGAAGAAGAAGAAGAATAAGAAGCAGAAGAAGGGCGGCGGCGGCGATGGAGTTTTGAAGGGTAATGGAAGCGAGGGAGAGAAGACGAAGATTTATCTTCCGAAACCGACGAGGGTGTCGCCGGCGATTGCGAGGGTGGAGAGCTACGACAGCCTGGCGAGCGGCGCGTCGTCGTCAAGCAGTAATCCTGGGGAGAAGGCGGCGATTTACGCGGCGGTGGGGTGGGCGCCGGCGATTTTCGATGTTGACGGCGCCGGCGCCGGCGAGGATGATTTTCTCGGCGGCGGGTATGTTCTCCCGGCGATCGACTCCGCCGATTCGATCTCGAGCGATGTGGACATGCTGGAGAAAGTCTACGATGAATACTTGCAGCTACTTCAAGAGAATTGAAAATAATCGGCGGCGGAGGCGCGGCGGCGACGGTGCCGGAAATATGTTCAGTAAATAATAATAAAAATAATAATAATAAGAAGAAGGAAGAAGAACAAGTTTGTGTGGTTGGTGTTTTCTCGACTATGCTAATGGCTTTTACATTGTTTTAACTATTTTGAGTTAAAAAGACTTTAATACCCTTATCGAAATTGAAACTCTTTCTTTTGATCTAAAACTTCTGATTTTTTACTATTTTAATTTACATTTTATAAAAAAAAAAAATACAAAACATCTTATTAAATATTATTTTAATACTATATTTGTCTCTTATGTACGCATTAGTTTGTTTTTTGCACCGAGTTTTAAGAATATTGGTATTATATTGGAGTGTGACATGAATAAAGTAAAAAATATTAAAATATGATATAAAGATAATGATATTTGCGTAATATATCGTAAGTAAATTATAAGAGTATTTTTTTATGTTAGTAGAAAGTATAATTATTAGGAAAAAAAATAAAATGAATACTTTATTATGAAATATACCAAAATAGAAAATAGATGATCAAACAAAGAAGGGAGTATAAAATTTAAATCAAGTTTCTTTTCACACCAATAAAAAAAAACATACTCAAAAAGAAAATTATGCGTTTCTTTTGATGAATTTGTAAAGAAATTGATTTGAATTTGGTATGAAAATAATATTTGATAGAATTTTTTGTGAAAAAAAAATAAATAAATACCATGAATAATAAAGAAACATATCATGAACATTGCACTTATCAATCAAAAACTTTTTGAATAATAATAATAATTGAATATTTAATAGTATAATATTTTATAAAATAAATAAATATTTGATAAAATATCATTTTAAAAATATTAATACTCCCTATTTACATTTGATAAAGTAACAATTACTTGTATGCAAATATTAAATATATATATATATATATAATATTTTAATAATATTTAATGTTATTTTATGCTGAATAACTAGTTTATTTTTATTAATTTATTTGCAATGAAATCTTATATTTGTAAATAGATACGATTTTAATGATATTTATAAATGTGTAATCGGTAGATATTTAATTTTTTTTAAGTGTAACTCTTTTCAGGAGACCAACAAAATATTACTTTCTCCGTCCTACATACAATGTCCACGTCATTGTTTCTGTCCGTCTCACATACCATGTCACTTTTTTTTTTGGAAAATGATTACACACTTTAATGTCATTTTAAATTTTTAAATTTTATTATATTTTTAATTTTTAATTAAACTAATTAGTTATCTTAATCTTATTTTATAATTATTTATATTATCTAATACATTCTTAATTATCTACTAATTGCATCCCTCTAAAAATATCGTGTCTACAGTGTAGCAGACACGGTACATGGGACCCATGGGACGGAGGGAGTACATTTTTTCAATGCCAAACGGGTATGCCGACGTGGCATTTCAATTTGTAGGCAAGATAGGGACATGTTGAAATTTAATAATTTAATAAGTTATGATTAGTTCTAACTATTTTGTTTTATGCTGCGACTAATAATAATATAGTTGTTACGCTTTCGTGTATTTTGAAAAGTAATTAAAAAAATATTTAAAAAAAAAATGATTTAATAAGGTACGATTAATTCTAACTATTATGATTTAATTTATTCCACGACTAATAATGACTAAGTTGTCGTGCTCTCGTGTTGTTTATATTTAAAATATTAAATAAAATATAAATATATAATGTGATATGTTTCTTTCAAGAAAAAATTGATAGTAAACAATTTGACCAAACAAACCCATTATTGTTTTGTTGTTTATAATTTTTTTTATGCAATTACTAATATTATTTTATAAAATTAGGATATTTTCTCACGTAAATATAATATTAAATTATAGTTCAAAATCAAAATCAAAACCCACTAATAAATCAAAGAAAGCATAGTATTGCTTAAAAATACGATAATAATTATAGAATTTTATCTAAAAACGTTAAATCAAATACTAATTTTTTTTTATTTTAATGTTTTTTTTTAAAAAAGAATTAATCTAAATGGAAAGTTCATTGGTTTTATTTTGTAATGTTTAAGTAATTACATAATCATTGTTGTTATTGAAAGATGTCGTACTTAATATTTATTCTTTTATATGATATTTATGTTAACTAATAATTATTTATTATTTTACACAAATTAAATAAAATATATATTTTAAAAAAAACAAAACCCAACTGCTAACATGTATAAAAACAGTTATCGAAACATTGACCAAAGGCATTATTGAGATTATGCTTCGAGGGAAGTATCTTGAAAACAATTAATTAATTAATTTTATAGATCACTTCGATAATTGGAGTGCAATAAATAATTAATAAAAAAATCATTGTAAATTATTTAAATCAATAATTAAAAACATGTTTATCACTTCGATAATTGGAATGCAATAATTAATTAATAGAAAAATCATTTGTAAATTATTTAATTTAAATAACATGGCTGGCTTGTCTCTTCTACTAATAATAGAGGAGCACATCCCGTGATATGTGCTCAATTCTCATTAAATAATTTAAATTAAATATTTAAATTCACTACTGTAGGCAGATATTTGTAATTAATATATTAGTATATAATTACAGTAAATATAAAAATAAATATTTCAAAGATAAATTAATCTAATCAATCATACAAATAATATTACAAAAATAATTTAATAAAAAGTATAATTAAATTGTTGAACATCTATTTAATACTCCCAATGTCCCACTTGAAACTATTATTTTGGAATTAAATTATTATAATTAAATTATTAATTTCAAAATTTTAATATGCATTTTGTCCTACTCAAATTTATATATAATGTTATTTTGGTTTGTCCATGCAAATCAATGAGTTTTCTATAATGACAAATTAAAATAATATATATAATAAAATATTTTTAACTTTCATATAATTTACATATATGTGATCAACTTTTAAGCAAAATTTTAACACAGCTAAGCCCATAAAATTATAGAAATATTCTTAAATATTTTTACTCAGCAATAAAAAATCGATTATTTTTAATTTACTATAATATATACATATAAACTGATAATAAGAAGTATACTATTTTTTTGAAGTCTTTTTTTAGTTCCTATAATACAATCGAATATGACTAATTATAGATTATGTTCCTCGGGTATTTATTTTAGTATTTTTATTATTAATTATTGAGAACTATGAAAATATTATTATAATACTTATTATTACTATTATTATTTGAATATGTTGTAAAGAAAATAATACTACAAAGTTTATTAATAATTAATTATACACAATATTTTGTAAAAGTAAATAAATCCATTTAATTAAAATTGCTTTACACGAGAAACAGCTTTCAAATAATTAATTAGGATACCATCAATCATGAGATTATATTAATTGTTTTTTTAGAATGCGTGAATAATTAAACATTCAAGATCCATACGCAAAATAATTATATAAAATAATTAAACAAAATATATAAAATAATTAAACAAAATTATATTCCCTCCGTCCTATATACCGTGTCTGCTACACTGTAGACACCGTATTTTAGGAGATGTGTAGTTAGTAGATAATTAAGAATATATTAGTGAAAATAATTATCTTATAATATAAATAATTATAAATTAAGATTAAGATAACTAATTAGTTTAATTAAAATTAAAAAATTTAAAATAAGATTAAAGTGTGTAATCATTTTCCAAAAAAGGAAAGTGACATGGTATGTGAGACGGACAGAAACGGCAACGTGGACATGGTATTTGAGACGGATGAAGTATTTCAATAGGTATATATTATTTTCAAATAAACTTATATATGTAAATTAAGAAGACGACAAATATACAAGTCATTGTTCTTGTTTTAGATTTTCTGAAATTTTGTTTGTTGATTTTAAATTGAAAGGATATTCCCTTCGTCGTAAATACTATGTTCGCATTGCCGTTTTTGTCCGTTCCATATTCCATGTCACTTTCCTCTTTTGAAAAATGATTACACACTTTAATCTCGTTTTAAACTTTTTAATTAATTTTTTTAAAATTTTGATTAAACTAATTAGTTATTTTAATCTTAATTTATAATTATTTATATTATAGGATAATTATTCTTACTAATACATTATTAATTATCTACTAATTACACCCCTCATAAAATACCGTGTCTACGGTGTATGTGGGACGGATGGAGTATTATTATAAGTGTCTACAGTGTAGCAGACACTGTATGTGGGACGGATGGAGTATTATTATAAGTGTCTACAGTGTAGCAGACACTGTATGTGGGACGGATGGAGTATTATTTATAATGTACGATTTTCAATAAAAATATACTAGACTCAAATTAACACTCAATTTCAAATAAATCTAAAAATTATAATATTGTCTAGGTGAAGTAATTTTTATTTATTTTTAATTTAAATATTTTATGAAAAAATAGTACTACGTGATAGGAGCAATTTTTTTATATTGAAATACTGTAAAAAATTTTGTTTACTTGTGTTTTTACTTTTTTTTTTTCTCGAAATTAGCAAATAGCATTTTATTTGTGTTTTTATTTTTTTTTAATATAAAATAGCTTTTATTATATATATATAATATTGCACTTAATTGTTTTTTATGTAAAAAAATTGTGATATTATTAATTTATTATTGGTATTTGCGTCAATATTTAAACTTAATTATTTTTTACAGAACACAATAATAATAATAAAATTTCAAATTATTAAATAAAAATACAATACAAGTAGACAATCCGTACAAGTATATTCCTAGTTATGATTTTGGTTGCTAGTGTGCGTTTGTGTTTTAGATTTATTGGGTTTACTATTTTTCTTTTCTTTTTGTTTTTTTTTTCTTTGTATTTTTCCCCAATTTTTATTATTTCATTTTATTTCAAAAGAAAATTTACATATTCATCTTTATACAAATATGTAAATACTATTTTATTAAAAAATATATCAAAATTCAATGCATATATATATAAATAGATAAATAAGAGTAACATATTTTGCTTTGAAATAAAATAGTAATTAAATTTTTTTAAGAATTTTTGAGAATTTTATTGTTAATTATTGAAAACTACGCAAAGTATTATTAAATATTATATTTTTATTACTTAAAAATAATTTGTAAGAAAAAAAATATGTTATTACGAAAACAATTTAT